TCGTAACTAAGTAGATATATTTTTCTCCTTTCTATTGTTCATTCCTTGAGACTTGATGTCCTTTTTCTGTTAAAGTCCATACACTATATTTTCATTCTTTTGTTGGGTTTTACTTCACTTTTATAATTTGGTAAATTTGCAATGTTTGTTCTTATATTACAGTTTTATTGTTTTTTTTTAATATTCTTTAAATTACTTAAGTTTCAGGGTTGCTGTATGTCAACATGTGAAGCCATCTTTACATTTGTCTGACATTTTAACTACTTTATATTTAAATTTCTATTTCAAAGGATTATATTTATTTAAATTGATTTTTTTTTATATGTAATAAATTAAAATTGGAATTTTATGTTTCTATTAATATGTGTGAGGCTAGGTTTATCCTTGTTTTTGATTATGTATTATCTGATAATAAATTGCCAGGTATACTATTTGATCGAGAATTCGGGTCTAGTTTAAATTTAATTTTATTATTATAACATTTATTTCTACTTTATTATCATTGTAATTTAGTAATCCTTTATTAACTTAACTATCATATTAACAATTCCCATCATCTTCCTTTTGCAATATAAATTCTATATTTATACTCAACTTTGTTTGTACAATGCACTTTTAACTTGTAAGTTCCTTGTAACTGTTTGATGTCAGTACAATATATACATATAGCAGATCATCCAAAGTAATATTTTACATTTAGGAACTGCAAAAAATATTGAACATTTAGATTTACTATGCATCTTGTAAATGAAGTTTACTTCTCGAAAATTACAAAGAGGATAATATTTCTCATGAAACTTGCAACTACTAGTGCCTTTGCCCTGATATAAGAATATTTTTAACATTTCTCATTCGTAGAAATTTCACAAAGTGCTTTCAAAGCCTTTTAAAAACTCTGGCTAATTTTCTTTAAGGAATATCTCACAATGCAGCATCACGTTGCCTTTGTTTCACGGCATTTCTGCATGCTCATGTTTTACCATTTAAACGGCATCTGTGCTCGTTTGGCTCATTGTTTACAAACGAGGTGCATTCGAGTGAATGCAGTCGATCAGCTTTTTTGTTGATTATTGATTTCAATTGTTATTGTGCACAAACAAGACGGAAGTAGAGAAGGAGTTTCAATACTGATATTTCAAGGAATAATGGGAGGTCAAAGCACAATTGGATGTATTTATGACAAATTAGGACAAAAAATAAAAATCTTGGAAAAAGTATGCACCTTGGGTGAAGAGAACCAATTATTTCCTTAACAGAAACCTGTTTTATGTTCGTCAATTTTTCACCCAATAAATTGTATAAGAAATTATTAGGATTCGTCCTACTTGTGGTACCATTTTGCGTACTACAATAGACTAGCCAATTTGGTAAAACGCAAAGCTACCAATTTTTGCGAATATTGTTCTTCGAGTCTCAGAAAAACGTAGCAAGCCAATGTACATCAAATGAAAGACTAAGAACCATTAAGCTCTTCAGAATGCAATAGAATTCGTGCAATGGAAACAAGTTCTTTCACAGAAGAAGAGTCTATGGATGTTAATGACATCGCGCCATAATGAAAATTAAGGTAAAAGCAAAGAAAGCTCTTAAGAGGAAAATGAAGGAGAATACCAGAAGGAGTCAAAGAAGGAAACTATGCTAGTGAAGTGGACAGAAGAATCACCTGCAAACGTATTTAGTCAGTGTAAGTTAAACGATTTTATAAGCTATCTAGACTTACCAAAAGAGGAAGCTTCTATCTGAAGGAACCAAAAGTTCGGAAATATTTTTCTTCAGATGAAGAAGGTACGTTCGTGTATTGCACCGATGTTAAAGGCTATAAATGAGTTAAAATAATATTTCTTACAGCAATGAGTAGAGGTTATTCACTGAGTTCCTCAAAATAAAACTTGAAGGCAGTTTTGCTACATAATAGCAATCATTATTATGTTTCAGTTCCAATAGCATACCCAACAAAACTGAAAGAAAGCTGTGACAATATGAAGTATGGCTTGGAAAAAATTTGATATCCACAGCACATGAGGCGAATTTCAAAATCATGACTATTATTTAGGAACAGCGTTCAGGATTTACTAATTGACCCTTTTTCAATGTTTATGAGACAGCAGAAATAAGAAAAATCATTTTCAGTAAAAAACTTGGACTAATCAAGGAGATCTAAATCCAAAAATTTTTGATGTTACTTAGGCAAAGGCACTTGTCTACGTCAGATCCATGCAAGGTTATGTTCGCTCCATTCACATAAAACTTGGACTAAGAAAACAATTCGCTGAGTCTTGGACAAAGAAGGTGATTGTTACATGTATTTGGGAGATAAATTTTCTGAAATGAAGAATGCTAAACTGAATGGGGGTATAATCATTGGACCTCAAATTCGTAAAATATTGTGTGATGAAGATTTTGTGATGAAAATGAATCACGCTAACTGTATGGCAAAGCATCAAAAATGTAACAGACACAATTACAAAATTCTAATCATGGAAATGGTGGAGATTTTCAGAACATGGATGTTGCATTAATATGAAGCTACATACTCTCTTACATGGATTAATTTCCTGATACCTTAGGTAACAACTAGAGCAAAGAGCAAGGTGAACTATTTCATCAAGATTTAAATTTTTATGTTGGAAAGAGAATAGGATTAGAGGTAAAAAGAGACATAGAGACATACAAAAGAGACATAGAGACATAGAAGACATAAGGTCTGTTCCAACAGGAGTCAGGAATTGGTTCCGAACCGTTCAAAATGTGCATCCAACTAATTCTTGCGATATATTCACTGAAGACACATTTAGAACCTAGCTGACCAAACATTTCGAACGGTTCAGAACCAATCCCTGACTCTTGTTGGAACAAACCTTTAGAGACGTAAAAACATAGACATAGAGACATAGAAAAAGAGACATAGAGACATACATCTGTTGAAGACAAAAGTGTTTGTTACAAGCGAAATCGTTAATTAAAAAATATATGTACCAACACTTTTACCCTAAATCGTCAATCACCTTTAATTATCAACTGGGTGGTCATTTTTCAGAAGATAGTGGGTGCTGATGCCAAACTAGCTTCTGATTCAGAATCTAGTTGGAAGCATGTTGTGAAATTTACTACGCGGATCAGTTTATCTCACGACGTTGCAGTCTTTAAACATATTCGCAAATAATCAGGTTTATGTTGGTTTGGAGGGCATCTTCTCGAATGTGGTGGGCGATGGCGTCATATTGATTTCAGATTTAAGCGACAACAAAAACAGTATCTGATCAAAAGAATAGACCACTTTCTTTTGTGTGACTGTGTTATTATTATGCCTTTCACCACTTAGTCTTTCTCGAACATCGAGAGACCATCGAGCCTTCTTAACTACTATTATAATTTTGTTAGTAATTAAATTAGCAAAGTGACTATTAGATACTAATTACAAGAAAAAATACAGATTAAATTATTACTTATTAGATTTGTACTAGGTAGGTATTACAAAATATAATATTCTTAGGTAAGATTTAAAAATTGTAAGCTCATTTGCAAAAAATAACACATTTATTTAGAGATTTCTACAAATTAAGTTACTCCAGTTAGTGTTATCTGTACGCAGGTACTAACGTACACAAATTGCAATGAAGTTTGTGTTCAGCGTATGGTCGGACTAGTTTGGTGAAACTTCTTTAGTCAAACAATTCGCTGAACGGGGTTGTAAAACATTACCAATATCCCCAATCAGCTGATTGGCCTGACCAACGAAATATTTGTCCGCTGAACGACTTTGACCGATCCGCTTTAGATATAAGTAAGTTAAATCATCTTATTTTGCCCTCAAGAATATGTGATATTTACACTTTTTAATTTAAACTGTTATTAACTATAACGCAAATGCATTCCAATGCAAATTAAATAGTAAGAAATTGAGTTTACATTTTCTTTATCAATAACTAATCACTAATTTTAGAAACCGCTATGTGTTTTTAAATCTACCGATATCAGACTGATTTTCTCCAAGTTAACAATATGCAGGGTGTTAATGAACTTAAGTCAAAAATTTAAAGGGGTGAAAAAGAAGCAAAAACTGAGTTAACTGATGTCACAAACTTATATCGGACTATAGAAAATCCACACGAAATACGTCGCGGTGCCTTTTGGCAACATTTTTCAATTTTTTAATGACACTTTAATAGGACCTTTTGAATTGCCTAGACTTTTAGACAGTGCTTCACATCTAGATTTTTTGCAAAATCGCTTGCCGGAGTTATTGCATTAAATGTTCGGCAAAATATGTTGTTACTGCATGACGAAGCCCCCGCTCACTTTTTTCGGAGAGTGCGCGACTTTCTAAATAGGATTTTTCCTGATTGCTAGATAGGCCGCGGTAGCCTAGTTAGTTGGCCACTCCGATTCCCACATCTCATCCCTTTAGACTTCTTTTTGTGGGGATATGTGAAAAGTGTTGTATATTCCACGGGATGTTCGTGACATCGATCAACTGCGACATCGTATTGCCGAAGCTTGTAATACGATTCGAGAGGACGTGGCAATATTGCAACGCATGCGAGCGAATTGGATATGTAGCGCTGAAGCTTGTGTGCAAGCAAATGGTGGGTACATCGAACAACTTCTATGAACATCAGGAGTTCTCAGAAGGTGGCGCCTTCCAATGTTGAGGTAAGTCAGATTTTAAAATTACATTTTACTCAACACAAATCCGTGTATTTACCTCATTTTGACATAACGGATATGTGGCAAAAATAATTGACATAAGTTCATTAACAGCCTGTATGTATTAAGAATTTCATCAGGATATTACCCATCAAAAAAGGTCCGAGATTAACTATTCAAGAGGCTATAATGCTTTATATACTTTTATTATGGGCCCGCCTATAAATGTGATGTGATAAACTGAAAGATTGTGTGTGTGCCCAAAGTCGTAAAAACCTCTAAGGCATGCCTTATAATGTATTAAGTTTTTACGATTCACTTATTATTTTATTGTTTCGAATTTTCTTTTTTACCTTAACAGCTGCTTCGGTGATTCTCTCAGGGCTGTCGAACTGAAACAAAAGGGGGTTCAATTATTTATGATTACATTTTGTAATTGAACAATAAGAATCAATAAATACTGTGATTTAGTAGTTATCAAAAAAAGCGACGTCATGAAAATACTTTTATAAGGTCATGCTACAGTTTCAGCAGGATGTTTCCTAGATTATTTTAGACTCACAAGTTTTCGAGATACACAGTAGAGAAAAAAATGCAAGGTAAAAAATTATTATATTATTGTGATTCTCCACTTTTTGAAAGAGAAATTGTCACAATTGCAATCATGTATAAATGGTGTTTTTATATCATTCCACAAAAAACAGGTATTACTTTTCTTGCAGTAAAATTTAATAATGTCCTATTGAATTATACAATTTATATCTACCTCTGTATTTGCAGTAGAAATTATTATGTATTGTGAACGTATGTATTTATTGAAAATTTTACCTAATAGAATAGATCCTATTTCTTAAACCTTTGCACAGACATAGAACAAACGGCATTTATATATTATGAAGACCCTATAAATAGCACTGGTCCTTGACAATCATATGCTGTTGTTTGAACTAACGGCCCAGAAATAATAGTTGTACCTACCGATTTTCCTTTTCAGACCCAACATTTGAAAATGGTTCATTTAAGTTGACATTGTAACGGTTCGATTAAATCTCACATTCTTGTTCTTGGACATTTCAAACGTAGCACACAAAACAGCTCTGAGCGTTTATCGTTTACGAGCAGAGGATACCTAGTAATTACCTACGTAGGACACGAAGACATTGCATTAGGAGAAATGGGGAGCTATTTCCAAATACCAAGCGGGAGACATGTAACGAAAAGCATTTGCGTTTTTTATGTGACAAGAGACCGTTTGGTTTCTGTACAGGGTCAATTTTAAATGTGTACATATTTTAGCTGCGGGTATAATATGTATTGTAATGGGTCCAGAGAGAGTTATTTTTCAAAATTACAAATATTTACAGAGACACCACTTTTCCAAAGTTTTGAGAACCACTGTTCACATGAAAGATAAACATTTATGTTAGCGTACCAAAGAGTTTCCCAAAATAAAGAAAACAACTAATGGTTTTAGGAACAAATTAAAATAAAATTATGCAGGAATCATAACCCTAATTTTAACTTCTTAATGAAAAAATCCTAACCAAAAATTTAATTTCAGCAAATTGTTGTTTTCAAAGCAATGTTTTCAAATATGATTTTCATGTTTACCGCAAACCGTAACTATCGAAATTTTAAATTTAGGTGACCCTAACCAATGTCACATGACATATAAAGTGCTTTCCAAGATATACAGGAGTCTTCAGAAACGGATATTTCTAGTGAGGTTGGGAATTAAATATATCCTTCACTGCTGTACTGTCAAAATTTCATAACATTTGGACGAATAGAAGTGGAATTATTGCATCTGAAGTTGTCACTTCACTAATAAGTTTGTGTCATTTGTACAAAAATAAGAATCGACCAAACAGTTAATATTAAGTTTTCTTTTGAACTTAGTAATATTAAACTATACTTTTATAGTTTAGGTTTTATAAGCAAAAAAATGCATTGTGTTGCATAAAAATGTTTATAAAAAATTAATTAATGGTAAATTGGAGTAGGAAATATATAAGCATATATCTACAGACTGTCTTTTATATGATGGCACAGTCCGCTTGCTATTAGTATTTTTGTTACAAACAAACCTCTATTAATTGGCCTATGACGACCAAAAAATTCAACATTTGAAGGACATCAACAAGGAGGATAAAAAGGACAAAAACTCCTTTTACAACATTGTGACTGATGAAGAAACGTGGTGTTTTCAATATGATACAGAAATCAAGAGCCAAATTGCCGAGTAGAAGGCACCAGACCATCCAAAACCCAAATAATGTCGTTTGGAGAAGACAAAAGTGAAGACAATGTTGGTTTGCTTTTACGATTCCAAAGGCATTGTCCACAAAGAGTTCGTTCCAAACCGTTAATACAAATTGAAGCGTTTGGTGCATCGTATTGGGACAGAATATCGTGCAGGAGGAAGTTGCGCGATAATGTTGATCTCATCTATCGACACTGCTTGTGACCGGTCTTTTGACTAAAAATCGCCGTATAACTGTCAACCACTCCCCATATTCGCCTGGTTTGGCACCATGAGACTTTTACCTGCATTTACCGATGAAAGGAAAACGTTTTGTGGACGTAGAAACCATCCAAAAGGCTTGTACCGAAATCCTGAAGGACATCTCGGCGATCGGTCTAAATCACTCATACGACATGCTTCGTGATTTCAAATCAAATAAATCGGTCACATATTATAATTAGTTCAATGCCAGTTGGGGCATATATCACGTGGAATAATTATTTCAATAGTTTGAATAGAATAATGGCATTAGTTAAAAATCTTGTAGACATCTATATTTCTAATTTAATACAGTATATGTATAGTGATAATAATTTTCGCGTGAAGTGAAGTCTTTTACTAATTTCAACAAAATATATGTTATGCCGAACGTCGTTTGCTTCACTTAAATAAATATTATGTGGATATAATAAGAAGTAAGCTATATCAAATGGACAAAATATGTATCAATTAAATTGTACCTCAATGGATTATACTTAAATGACAAAATATATTAACTTCCCTGAACAATTATATTCTTTCCATGTAGGATTTTACAATTACAAATAAAATCGATATCCAATAAATACACGAAAAAAGAATTAGCTGTTCGGTTCTGTAGATCCAAATTACAATGCACGCTCCAAATCAACAAATCACCAATTCCCTTCAACACACTCGTTATTGATTAATTTTGTTATAGGATTGGACTGCAGTATCGATGAGAAATGTACATATCACAAACAGACATGAAATTATGTAGTTGGTTTTGTTATCTGCATTTGATAATGATATGTTGTTGGTTGTAAAAGCAAATACGAACTGCTGTCGACTAAGTGTTTATTCGAAGCAAAGGCTGTTGCATTAAAAAGTTTCGTTACGCTTTCCGATGCGATCTTAATTCAAAGACTGGATGTGAAAAGGGGAGTCATTATTTACACATTTTCCTGATAACATCTGCAACGCTGCTGCGAAATGGGATCTTAAAATAAATGTGAATAATGATGAAATGCGTACTTTAGTTGAGGACACGTCGTCTAGCTACCAATTGACTTTTTAAATCGTATTCTAGATTTGATTAAGTTTGGTAATATCCATTTTTTTAATGTAATACCTATATATTCACCTAAATTATTTTGCTTAAGCAGTGTAAGAATATTAGTAGGTACTTACATTTTTTTGTTTGTATAAAAATTACTTCAGTTAAAAAAGAGGTAAAATTAAATCGAATTCCAATCACAAGAGCCCTTCGGGATGTTAATAATGAAATTAATCTTTTCAGAAAAATATTTCATATCCACTTGTTCAATAATAATTTACTATGTATGTATTGCTTATTCCATAATTCTACAAAACAGGTTTAAGTTTCCTTAAATTCTATACAGGATGATTCAAAGTTCATCCAAAAAAATAAAAATAATGTATTTATAGATTTCAAGAAAAAAGTTTGCAGAACCACAAAGCTGGACAACCGTATTGTATTTATTGTGGTTTACTGTTTACATCAGTTTTCTAAGAGTTCAGAAAGCATGCAAAATTAATGAGTATTGTTTGAAATTATCGCAAAGCGAGACAAAATGCATCAGCACCTCATCTCTTGTATGCTTATAATTTGTTTTTCGTGTAGACATGTGCCACATGCTGCTACTTTTACTGAGGTAGTTCAACGAAGGCATAAAAGGGAAAATTTGTAACCGAATCGTCGAAGAAACGAGTGTGAGAATGGATATGTTAATTATAGATGAAGCTCTGTTCGCACGAACTGGGACAAATAATGTTCACAATTCGCTTGCCTGGGATAGCCTGTAGATAACTGTTTTTAAATAATTTATACAGACCTATTGTACATGTGTCAATCTTTTGTGGAAAAGTTTTGTGCAGAATATTATACACGATGTCCTTTAATTCGTCTGCTAATCTTCTACAGGTCATTGATCAAAATAACCGCAACAATTTTAAATGAACTAGTCGCCAATTTCTTAAAAGTTGCATCAAATTTATTATATAAATAATGTGCCGTCCGAGCATTTAATAGTTAGGATTCATATACATTAGTTTTATAGACCGATATATTATTATGTAATTTGGTGATTGGTTGGTTGCGGTGCGATTTATTATTTTTATATTTATTTATTTATTTTTATTATATTATAATTATTATTTAATTTGGTGATTAATTTTGTTTCTGGTGTGTAAATTTTGTGTGTGTATAAGAATTAATTATCCGTTTGGGCGCCTTTTTTTATGTAAAATGTCATTTGGGTGTATTTATATCTAATTTTCCATTGAGTGTAGGTTCTGATAAGAAATTTTAATAATAATAATGACAAACATAGACGAACTAGACTTTCTTACCTTATCATTGCTAACATCGCCTCCGGCAGCTTTACTTTGTATAAATAATGTTCACAGTGTAGACAGGATTTTATTAGTGTAGATAGGAATGTTCATTTTCTACACTGTCCCTCAAGAAAAAACACTTTATTTTATCAATAGCATGAGTCCTTACCTCATAGGGGCGGTTCTATGCTCTTTTAATTAACCTTTACTATTTAATTTTTGGTA